TGTGCCTCTGTGTGGACACGTACACTTGTGTGTGCGTGTGAGGCTACCTGTACCATCACTTGGAGTAAGGCTGCAGCCTTGAGGGCCTGAATGGCCAGGAAAATATTAGCAAACAGGGAGACTTGGATCAAGAGACAGATAGCAGAAAGACAGTGTCCAAGCCCAGCTGTCAGTAGGACACATCTAAAAATTCACTGAAAATTAGCTGACTTCCATTCTGCTCACCTAGACATGGATGGCAACGAGAACGTTTGTGATCTTTGTGTTCATAAAAGAGCTCTGTGTAACTTCCTCTTTTGATCTGTGTTGGTGGCCACGTGTGTTACATAGAATCATAGACTCATGAATGTTGGAAGAGACCTCTGAGACCCTAAAGTCCAACCCCAACCTATCCCCCCCATGCCCACTAACCATGTCCCCAAGTGCCACATCTCCATGGTTCTTGAGTACTTTCAGGGATGGTGACTCCACCACTTCCCCAGGCAGCCTGTTCCAATGCCTTACTACTCTTTCAGAGAATAAATGTTTCCAAATATCCAACCAGAACGTCCTCTGGCACACCTTGAGGCCATCACCTCTCATCCTATTGCTATTACCTGGCAGCAGAAGCTTACTCCTACCTCACTCCAACCTCCTTTCAAGAGTTGGTGAGAGTGATGAGGTCCCCCCTGACCTCAGCCACTGCCCATAAGACTTGTACTCCAGACTCTTCATCAGCTTTGTTGCCCTTCTCTGAATGTGCTCCAAGGCCTCAGTGTCTTTCTTGCAGTGAGAGGCTAGAAACTAAACAGGATTGCTAAACTGCTCTCCATCATCATTGAAAGATCTTGGCAAATGGGAGAGGTGCCTGAAGACTGGAGGATGGCCAGCATCACTTCAGCCTTCAAAGAGGGCAAGAAGAAGGATCCAGGAAACTGCAGGCCAGTCAGCCTCACCTCTGTCCCTGGAAAGGCGATGGAACAATCTGTTGTGGATGCCACCTCCAAGCAATTGGAAGACAAGAAGGTTATCAGGAGTGGTCAGTATGGGTTCACCAAGGATAAATCATTCTTGACCAACCTGATAGCCTTCTATGATCTCATCACTGGCTAGGCAGATGGGGGGAGAGCAGTGGATGTTGTGTACTTTGACTTCAGCAAGGCATCTGACAGCATCTCCCACAACATCCTTGTTACGAAACTTAAAATATGTGGGATAGATGAGCAGATGGTGAGGTGGATTGAAAACTGGCTGACTGGCAGAGCTCAGGAAGTTGTCATTAGTAGTGCAGAGTCTGGTTGTAGGCCTATAACTAGCAGTGTTCCCCAGGGGTCGGTGCTGGTTCCAGTTTAATTCAACATCTTCATTAATGACCTGGATGAAGGGATAGAATGCACCTTCAGCAAGTTTGCTGATGATACAACACTGGGAGGATTGGTTGTCACACCTCAAGGCTGTGCTACCATTCAGTAAGACCTGGACAGACTGGGGAGTTGGGCAGGGAGGAACATGATGAGGTTTAACAAAAGCAAGAGTAGAGTCTGACACTTGGGGAGGAGTAATTGCATGCATCAGAACGGGTTAGGGGATGATCAGCTGGAGAGGAGCTCTGCAGAGAAAGACCTGGGGGTCCTGGTGGGCAACACATTGGCCATGAGCCAGCAGTGTGCTCTTGTGGCCAAGAAGGCCAATGGGGTCCTGGGGTGTATTAAAAAGAGCGTGGCCAGGAAAGTGAGAAAGGTGACCCCTCCCCTCTACTCTGCCCTGGTAAGGCCACATTTCGACTACTGTGTCCAGTTCTGTGCTCCCTTGTTCAAAAAAGACAGAAACCTCTTAGGAGTCCAGCAGAGGGCCACAAAGATGGTGAGGGGCCTGGAGCATCTCTGCTATGGAGAAAGGCTGAGTAATCTGGGTCTGTTCATCCTGGGGAAAAGAAATCTGAGAATGAGTCTGATTAATGTTTATAAACATGGGAAGGAAAGAGGGAGGCAAATGGATGAGGCCAGGCTCTTCTCCATGGTGCGTAGCAATAGGACAAGGAGTAATGGCCTAAAACTTGAACATAAGAAGTTCAGTATTAACATGCAGAACTTCTTTAAGATAAGGGTGACGGAGAACTGGAACAGGTTGTCCAAGGGGTTGTGGAGTCTCCACCTGTGCAGATATTCAGGACTTGTCTGGATACCTATCTGTGAGATGTACCTGCTTCAGCAGGGGGGTTGTATTCAATGATCTCTTCAGGTGCCTTCCAGCCCCTGCAATTCTGTGACTGTATGTAAATGGTATCAAAGTATGGCCTCACCAATGCCTAGAACACAGAGGGATGATCACCTCCCTTCTCCTGCTGACTGCATTATTTCTGATACAAGCCAGGATGCCACTGGCCTTCTTGGCCACCTGGGCACACTGTTAGCACACTGTGTTCAGCTGGCTGTCAACCAGCACCCCCAAGTCACTTTCCTCTGTGCAGTTTACCAGCCACTCTGCACCAAACTTGCAGCAATGCATAGGGTTGTTGTGACTAAAGTGAAGGACCTAACGCTTGGTCTTGCTCAACTTCACCCCACTGGCCTCAGTCAACTGATCCAGCCTACCCACATCCCTTTGTAGGGCTTTCCTAGGCTCAGGCAAATCAACAATTTTTCTGAACTTGGTGTCATCTGCAGACTTACTGAGGGTGCATTCGATCCTTTCATCCAGATCATCAATAAACATATTAAACCTCCATCAGCATTGGGCCCCAATACTGATGCCTGGGAAATATCACTTGTTACCAGCTGCCAGGTGGATTTAACTCCATCTGCCACTACTCTCTGGGCCCAGCAATCCAGCCAGTTCTTCACCCTGTGAAGAGTGTACCTGTCCAAGCTGCCAGCTTAACCAGCAGTACTTATCCAGCAGTACTGTGGGAGACTGTCCTGGTTTCAGCTGGTAAAGAGTTGATTTTCTTCATAGTGACTGGTGTGATGCTGTGTCTTAGCTTCAGGAGAGAAACAAGGTTGATAATACACTGATGTTTCTAGTTGTTGCTGAGCAGTGCTGTACAAAGCAAAGGACATTCCAGTTCAGGTTCTCTTATTGCTCTGCCACCAAGGAAGCTGGGGAACACAAATAGCTGGGAGAGAACACACCAGGACAGCTGATCTAAACTGGGCAAAGAGATATTCATAGAATCATAATCATAAAATCATAGACTGGCCTGGGTTGCAAAGCAGCACGATGCTCATCCTGTTCCAACCCCCTGCTGTGTGCAGGTCACCAACCAGCAGCCCAGGCTGCCCAGAGCCACATCCAGCCTGGCCTTGAATGCCTGCAGGGATGGGGCATCCACAGCCTCCTTGGGCAGCCTGTGCCAGTGCCTCACCACCCTCTGGGGGAAAAATTTCTTCCTCGTATCCAACCTAAACCTCCTCTGTCTCAATTTAAAAATACCATATGACATCATGTAAGAAAACTATAAAGCTGAGCAAAGTTGGCTGTGGGAGGCCAGCTAGGCATCAGTCAGCGGGTGGTGGGTTATTGGTTTGTACATCACTTGTTTTGAGTACATATATATGTGTATATATATATGAAATTATTCAATTATCAGTACTGTTATTTCTCTCTTCCCTTTCTGCCCTAGTATCTCTACCTATGAGTTTTTTTTTTTTTTTTTTCCAATTTTCTCTCCCCATTTGACGGAGAGGAGAGGGAGTGTGAGAAAAAAGGCTGTGTGACATTTATCTCTTTGCCAGGTTAAACCACAACAGAGACAGAGTCAAAGGCTTTATGAACTCTAGGTCAGGCTACATCAAAAGCCTTTTCCTCATCCATTGGGGGGTTACCTGGTCATAGAAGAAGATGAGGTTGGTCAAGCAGGACCTGCCTTTCATGAACCCATGTTGGTTAGGCCTGATCCCCTGGTTGTCCCACACATGCCATGTCATCTCTTTCAAGATGATCTGCTCCATAACCTTACCTGGCATTGAGATCAGGATGACAGGCCTGTAGTTCCCCAAATTATCATTATGACCCTTCTTGTAATTTGGCATCACATTAGCAAGACGTACCTGGTTGACCAGGACTGCTGATAAATGACAGAAAGCAGCTTGGCAATCATCTCTGCCAGCTGCTTCAGCACCCTTGGGTGGGTCCCACCCAGCCCATGGACTTCTGACAGCACAGGTCACTAACTGAATTGCAGGGGGTTTATTCTGCTCTTTATCCCTGTATTACAGCTCAGGAGGCTGAGTATCCTGAGGATAACTGGTCTGATATTAAAAACATAAGAAGACACTGAGAACCTCAGCCATTTCATCATCCTCAGTGGTAATATTCCCTGCCACATCCAATGAAGGATAGAGATTCTCCTTGGTCCTCCTCTTGCTGCTATTATATTTGTAAAAACACTTTTTATTATCTTTAACAATGATTTTTTTCTGAGTTTTTTTCTAATTTTCTCTCTGCAAATATGTGTATTTGCAGTGTATATGGATGCACGTGCATCTGTGTGCACTTACTGGGAATACATGCTCAGCCCTGCTGCTGGTTGGATTTGCAGTAAAGGAGCTGCGGCAGCCTCTCAGGCTTTCAGGTACAGCCTAATTCCCTTAACACACACCTTGGAAGACCATAATCCATCCACCTCATGCTCTGAAGTGTTTTTAGTTGTAAACAAGCCTTGTTAGTTTCCCACAGAACACAACAGATCTACGAAATAGTTCAGAGGGTTCTGAAATCCTATAGCATGTAGAGTGGCCCGCACTTCATGCCGCCTGCCAGGGGATTCATTACACTGTCTGTGAAACTCTGCTTCTATTACCCTGACAATGATATCAGGCCCTGAATCAAATCCTAACATCAAGCTCTGCTCGCTTCACTGTATTTCCATTGCATGTGACTTATTCAACCCTTGAAAGCAAATCCAAATGAGAAATCCCTTTCTCATATTACTCTCTTTGATGCATGGCACCAAAGCCACATGGAAGATAGACAATATATATATATATATGCCATGTGATACTTTACTCCTGGACCAGTACCTTGTTGTCCAATGCTGTAATCTCCTGTTGGTTAGCTGTTGAGAGAAGAAAACTACTCATCTGTCCCTTTAATGGGTCTTCAACTTCTACATCTATGTCATAACAAGCCGTCTTCTTCTGATCATTGGGGTCAACACTACAGAGAGGATAATAGAATATTATAAGAACTGCTGTAATGAATCAGAGTAAATACCCATCCAGATCCATATCCAGGATATATTTTCTGCAAAGGACTGTTGCAGATGCTGGGAGAAGAGTTTAAGAACTGGTTACCTATATATACATGCATATCCTAGCGTATTGTCTTATCATTTATCAGTTAGAATTCAGACTTTTGAGTCAGAAGTTTTGTCCAAACTATAAACTTTAACAGCTACTAATGCTCAATCTTAAATTAAATTGCCTCACATTTTCTGAGAACAGTTATAGCTTCAGCCTCTGAAGTAATTTCCAGTTGTAAACAACATTTCAATATCGTTTCTGTTCCATTGCATCCATTTAGGGTAAGTAAAACCGTACACTATCATTCTGGATGTGAGCACTTAATTGGTTATCAGTTCCAATGCTAATTATTGAGTTGGAGGACATGACTGGGGGAGCAGTGACTTTCCACTTGAAGTAGCTGAAATTGTAAGAGATCAGTTGCAAAAGTTAAATGTTCTGGGGGCCTGATGGGATTCATCTCTAAGCACTGACAGAGTAACTGGACCTCTATCAACAATTTACTAAAGGACTTGGGATACTGCGGTGATTTCTGTTCACTGGAACACAATGTTATAATGATCTAAAAGAAGGTCAAGAGAGAAGACCTACCAAAAGCTACAATCTAACCTCAGTACATGAAAAAATATAGAGAAGAGTTTCCTAGATAATATCAAAGGATATTTAAAAAACAAGGATGTTATCAGGCATAGTCAACACTGATTCACAGTGGGAAAAGCCTGCCTCAGTAACGTGATCTCTTTCTACAATCACATCACCGCTCAGTGGGTCAAGAAAAGGCAGAGGTTGTAATCTCACTGGATTTTAGTAAGGCCTTTGATACCGTCCCTCACAGAATCCTTCTGGGCAAAGCGTTGAACCATGACCTGAGTAGGGTCTCACTGGCTGATGAAGTGGCTGAACGGCAGAGCTCAAAGAGCTGTAGTGATGTTGGCTACATGATGATAGCAGTGTTCCCTAGGTCTCAATTCTGAAGTCAGTCTTGTTCAACACATTTATCAGTGATCCAGATCAGGAGTTGAACGCAGCCTCAGGAAGTTTGGTGACAATACTAAACTGCGAGGTGCTGCCAACTCTCTTGAGGGACGAGAAACCTTGTAGAGGGATCTAAGTAGATTGGATAATTGGGCAATTGTTAATTGCATTACATTCAGTAAGAACAAATGCTGGTTTCTGCATCTGGGATGGAGGAATGCCAGACAAGTGCAGATTGGAAGATGAATCATGGAGAACAGCAAAACTGTAGGGTCTGGAAGGGACCTCCAGAGATAATCTAGCCCAGCCCCCTGCAAAGCAGGCCCCCCATAGCAGGCTGCACAAGTAGGTGTCCAAGCAGGTCTTGAATATCTCCAGAGGAGAGTCCACAACCTCCCCGGACTGCCTGTTTCAGTGCTCCATCACCCTTACTTGTGAGGAAATTCCTTCTCATATTGGTGTGCAACTTCCTGTGCTCCAGTTTATGGTTGTTTCCCCTTGTCTTGTTGCCTCGTCCTCACAGACTGCTGAAAAGAGCTTGGCCGCATCTCCTCAACTCCCACACTTCAGATACTTATAAACATTAATTAGATAATCAGATGATTCCTCAGTGTTTCCTCCTAGCAGAGCTTTTTCCAGACATTCATCACCTATGGGCTCTTTCCAGATTCTCATGTATGAGGGAGCTGGGAACAGGACAAAGTACTCCAGATGAGGCATCACCAGGTCAGTGTAGAGAGGAAGGATTACTTCCCTTGTTCTGCTGGCCATGCTCTTTTTAATGTACCCCACAATGCCAATGGTCTTCTTGGCCACAAGAGCATATTGATGGTTCATGGTCAACCTGCTGTTCTCCAGGGCCTCCAGGTCCTTCCCTGCAGAGATGCTTTTCAGGATAGGATTCACAAGAATGACACAAAGCTGCACCAGGGGAGGTTCAAAGTAGGAGACAGACATCTCCTGGCTAGCTGGAAACGTGCTGGTGGACTGGAGACTGGCAAACGTGCCCATCTTCAAAAAGGGCAGGAAAGATGACCCTGGTAGCTACAGACCTATCAGTCTCACCTCGATGCCAGGGAAGATTATGGAACAGATAATCTTGGGAGCCATTATGGACCTATTAAAGGTCAACCAGAGGATCAGGCCCAGTCAGCATGGGTTTACGAATGGTAGATCCTGTGTGACAAACCTGATTTCATTCTATGACAAGGTGACCCACTTAGTGCATGAGGGTAAGGCTGTCAATGTGGTCTACCTGGACTTCAGTAAAGCCTTTGACACTGCCCCCCACAACATTCTTATGGAGAAGCTGGCTGCCCATGGTTTGATGGATGTACGCTCTGCTGGGTGAAACATTGGCTGGATGGCTGGACCCAAAGAGCTGTGGTCAGTGCAGTTAAATCCAGTTGGCTGCCGCTCACAAGCGGTGTTCCCCAGGGCTCAGTATTGGGGCCACTTCTGTTTAACATCTTTATTAACGATCTTGATGAGGGGATCGAGTGCACCCTTAGTAAGTTTGCAGAGGACACCAAGCACTGATGTGCCTGAAGGGAGAAGGGCACTACAGAGGGACCTGGATAGACTGGATCAATCGGCCAAGGTTAACTGTATGAGTTTCAGTGGGGCCAAGTGTCAGGTCCTGCATTTTGGTCACAATGACCCCAGGCAACCCTACAGGTTTGGGAAGGAGTGGCTGAAAGCTGCCTGGTGGAAAGGGACCGTGGTGTAGTGATGGACAGTCAGCTGCTGATGAGCCAGCAGAATGCCCAGGTGGCCAAGAAAGCCAATGGCTTCCCGGCTTGGATTAGGAATGGCGTGGTGAGCAGAAGCCATCTCTGCTTAAAAACTATTTGGATGTGGTGCTCAGGGATGTGATTTAGCAGAGGGCTGTTGGAGTTAGGGTACTATGGGTGGGTTGTGGTTGGGCTTGATGATCTTTAAGGTCTTTTCTAAACTGAGGAATTCTATGACTGGAAACATTTCTTCACTATCAAGGTGGTTAAAGACTAAAATGGGCTTCCTCGAGAGGTGATTGATTCCCCATGTCTGTCATTAGAATAATGCTCTCATTATTGCACTTTAATTTCTGGTTAGCTGTAAAGTGGTCAGGCAGTTGAATTAAATTATCTTTCTAGGTCTCTCCAATTGAACTATTCTAATTTCTTAATTTTCATATAAAGCAAATCACCTTTATCTTGATGCCTGATAGATTCTTCAAAAAACACAGCCACTCATGCCTTCCTACTACAGAAGCTATACTGATTTTTCCCAAATATATCACATTTATCACACACCTATTAACTTCATCCTCTTTTATAGTTAGTATAATTTGGCTTCCAGTATCCAGGACTGATGTTGGTGCATCTGAATCTCTGGGCACAACGACGTGACATTCTGGAGTTAAGGCTCACAGGGAGCCTCAAGGATGATGGGGGGCTGCAGAACGTGCCTGCCCAGAGAAGCTGCCAGAGCTGGGTTTGTCCAGCCCTGAAGAAGAGACCTGGGGAACTGACTCGATGGATGGAACTTTTTAAGTTTTTATAACTCATGACTGTAATTAAAAGGGATAAATAAACATCAAACAGGTTCACAATACAAGAATATTGAAGAACTACATTTTGTAGAACATTTGTGTAATGTTAAGAGGTGGCTTGCTTCTTTGCAGAAATGGAAAATGCTACCTGTAATTTCAGATATGAGAGCAATAAAGAATAGCTCCAGCTTAGGCTCACATAAGAAGACTTCTGTGAGTTTTAAATCTGATGCATTCAGTTTTGCATAGTTCAGAAACTATTATCCACTCTTTTTCGTGGCATCCTCTTTCAGGAGACGTACCATATAAAAAGCATTTTTGCAGATTATAACATTTCTGTTCATTTCTATTTAATTTCCACTTCATTCTCACTTCATTTTTTTGTTGCTTTCTTTCTCACAAAGCAGGGGTGGTTTGTATCTGAACACTAGTTCTAAAATGCTAAATGAGATTAGAATAGCTCGTGTTTTCATCTGTGTGCATCCTAAAAATCTAAAATGAATAACTAATCTAGGTGACCTTCCTGTACAAGACAGGCCTAGAGATAAATCTGCAGAGCACATATATTTAAAATCACCAGCACTTAAAGATCCCTGGCAGCGGCTGACTGCTGTTCCAGTGGTTGACTGCACTCACTGTTAGGAATTTAACTCAGTGAGCAGGAGAAAGGGTCTGCGAGTCTGTTCAAAGCCAAGCTGGACAAGGCCAGCAGAAATGCGATGCCATCCGACCCAGCTTTGAGGTGGTGGTGGGGAAGTCTCAGATGACCAGTGTTGGCTTCCACGTCATTCTGCAATTTCAGCAGTCGAAATCTACTTACTGCCATTACATTCAGTGCCAAACTTCCAGATATTTTTCCTTTTGCTGAGACTACCAGCATTTCATCACCCCTCGAACAAACATCGTATCTCCTCTTCTAGGCGAATTAACGCTTCCCCCATCCACAGCCTGATCTCACTATAGCACAATACTGTCCAGTTCTGTGTGGTGCACAGAGTATGTCAGAGAACACTACTGCACACAGCATCCTCCTCTTCAGCTTCCAGCTGAAAGAAGTTATCTTGCCCCCGGGACTTCTTTGCCAAAAAATACTGTCAGTTAGTTCCTTGCCATATTTTTCCCTAGATAATGACTACGTGCCTGTGAGGACCTCAGCTTTTTCTTTTTGCTCCATCAAAAGGTCAAAATCATCTTCAGTGACAGTACATACACAGTTATCAACTCATACAGTGGTCAAAAGCCACTTTTAGACTGTTTTATATAGTCAAATTAATTGAAAAACAAGTTTTATTTTTACAGCCTTTGTAACTTTAAAATTTCTTATCACATATATTACAGAGTTGAAACAAAAAATCATTTTTAAGCATATTCAGGAATATTTGTTGTCAATATTCCGTAGGAAATTAACTTCCTAACCTCAGTTAATGGTAACATTTAAATACTCTGAGTTTTGACCAAGACTACAAAGGAACTTAGAAGAGACTGAAGTAGCCAACAGCAAGTTTGCAGTTCTCAATCTCTCCTCTCCTCCCAAGTTGTCACTTAAGTATGGAATGTGCTGGATGTGCCCTACATATAAGTAAAGCTGTATATTAACCATGCCAAAAATATGCCTGTTTTGGCAAGGATTCCAGGAAGTTCACTGCTTTGGCTGCAATAACCTTCACTGAATCTTGTCATTCTTTAGATTAACTCTTTAGAGGATCCTTGAATAGCCTGCCTTCTTCAAGGAGGACTAGCACCCAAACCAGCTGATCCAACCCCAACCAAGCATGCAGACTGGCCACTGTATCTGAAGGCATTATACTGTTGCATATCTGACATAATCGGGTGGTTAGAATGAATATCTGTGATATTTTAACTCCCTTACCCCCCCCCCCCCTCAGTGGATTCAAACTTGTTCTTCTCCCATTAGGAAGGAAATCCAATCAACTCTCAATATTATTTTAGTATGGATAAGAAGAGTGAGAAGTTTTGCACTCTTCTATAGAAATGGTGCCACTCCGCTGAAATAATTCCGAATTACAAAGACCAGAACATCAAAGAGAACAAACACATGAAGTCCAAGGCTCTGACCAGGATGCCAGAAAACCTGGATTCTGGTCCATGCGACAGTAGCTGCTTCTGCATTCATGCACTTTGCACCTGACAGTGCTGAGCTGACGGCCAAGCTTACCTGATGATATGGTTTATTACGATAGGATCTGGTGGCAGCAGCAAGTTAGTCAGTCTCTGAGGGATTTCAGAAAACTTTAGCCGTGGGCAGTCAAAAATCTGGAATACAATGAAGTCTGTTACCCTCCAGAATCCAATCTGCAGTTAAGAAAGTAAACCATTGGTTCAAAGGTAAGGGGATTCTGTAAGCTGTAATTCTGTCCCCTGGCCAAATACCAGCTATTACACTTTGCTCACAAACCCTCCCTTTAAGAGCTTTCAAAATAAGCGAGGTATCCTGGAAGCTATGGAAAAACAAAGCCAGGTAAGGTAATGATAGCTCATATATCATCACTTTTACTAAACTGATGTAGCCTTATTTACAGAAAGCGTGGAATCCCTCCAAGCATCCCTCGTGGTTAATTCTAGAGGTTGTTGTGAAAGACAGAAAGTCTTAGTGTGCTACTCTGAAAACAGCATGCAGACCACTGAGAGCATCTTAAGATTTGAAGCACGTTTAGGAAAAAGATGGCTTTTCTAACCATGTCTTTCATGTCTTCTGCCTTTCTTAGAAGGAGAAAAGAAGGGATGGAAAAGACTCTACATATGAGTTGGTATTCAGAAGCAGCAGACTTTATCATGTCACTGAGATACCATCTTATGCTAAGAAAAAAACCAAACAACTATAAATCAGGACCGTGAAAAAGAGCTTTTCTTTCTGGAAAGGCTTTTGTGCAGGTCATAAACCATCAGATTCCTGACAACACTGGCAAATGGAGGAGGTGCTTACTTCTATTATGAGTTGTATGTCAGTGTCTGTTGAAAACCATTCAGTACTGAAGACTGCAAATTATTAAGCAAAAAATTCAGAAATTTTGTTCCATCAAAAGTCTGCAGATGGATACTACAGAGCACCTTGAAAGAGACACCGTGTCTAGAAAGGAATTACCTGCTGGAAGTACTTGTCACAGTTAATGTATTCCTTATCATGGGAATCTTGCAGCTTATTTGTTTTGATGTACTGCCACAGAGCCTGGATGATAGCTGATCGGGTCTGCGTGTGTATCCCCAGCAAACGGGCCAGCCGTGGGTCCAGTTTGAACTGCGGAGGCTGCAACACAGCGAAAAGGAGGGAGATGGTAACAGAGAGAATAACAGGCACCTGCCCAGACAGAGCTTCAGCTTTAGTTTTCTGAGGACTTTGTTCCACACGTGGATTGCCCCTTTCAGTGGTGGAAGCAGCATGAACAGAACTTGCTCAGATGTGCACCGCCTCCATGGAACGACGATGCCTAGTGCTTGAAAAGGAAGAGGGACACCATACATGTGCTGTGCAAACCAGCTACCTGCATCACGTGCTGCAGACAACCAGCTGCACAGTCAGAAGTTTCTCTTTTTATGCAGTTTGGCTTTAGGGACCAGAAGACAAAAAAGAATGATCCTGCCTCAGAACTAATGGAGATTAGCCAACAAATTGAGAGCATGAATTCAAGATGACACTTCTGCTATTCCTAATAATCAATCAGCTGCCTCCCATCAACAAACTCCATTGGAACTCTTTTTTCAGACATGCTTCCAAAGTTCCGCTGCATATCAGAAACTGCACCTGGTTACAACTTGTCAGTGGAATCTATTTCTCCTGACTTCTGTGACACAACTCCTCAATTGCCCTGCTTTACATTTCCAACAATATACATTCTTTAGGTACCCTGGCGTCTGGTGCCTCTTCACAAGTGCACTCATGCTCATGTTTAACATTTGCCACATTTTTCTGCATTGTTGGCTTTCAGGTCACCCAAAGTCAGATTTATAACAAGACAAAACTCCGGGTAAGAAAACATGCTTAAAAGCATAAATTTGTACTAATGGTGATGATAACAAACTCTAAATATATTTTCCTAACAGTCAGGATAGCAGCTATATCAGCACCTCAGTTAGGTCATGCATTCTCTAAAATTAATAAAACTGTCTATTCTAGGAAGACTAAAGACTATCCTAACTTTTTTTTTTTTCCTTTTTGTTTTTTGTTTCCTGTGACTGGAATCAGGAAACTTATTTGGAAGTAAGCTTTGCTAGCTCTGAAGTGAAGATCTCTTATCTTATGTCTGTGTTCAGTACAGACATTTCCAGTATAGAAGGTATTACTAATAAAAGAGAGGAACCAGGAATGCTGAAACAGTGCACTGACAGGTCTGTCCCACTCAGGGCAATGTTTTATGCCGGATTAGAATGACAGCGTAACACAAATGTAATAACCTCAGAAAGCTGCACAGTCTGCTCTGCTGCTCAGGTACCTCCAGCAAGAGCCATTCCTTTGAAACACAGCATACAGGAAACCTCCTCTTCACGTGCATCTTACCTCAGTATTTAGCAAGAAGTCTGAAGAGGCAACATACATTCTTTCTGCAGGTGATAGTAATCATCATCATGCCAAGATGAGTTTTCTGCCAGATGATAATAGAAACTCATTTGATGAGCTCTCTTAATATTTTCCCTAATCTGGCAGTTCAGTATACCTATAATCTCTTTGGTCAACATGACATTCCGAGTCCACATTAATTATTTCTTGATGAACGTGATGGGATGAATTTACTCTGTTGCAGCATGCCCCAGCAGTGCATTCTCCATGACAAAAGCACACACTGACCTGGTAATCCAACATGAGGAGTAGCGTGCACCGCACACTGACATCACCAGGTCTTTTCACCTGGAAGCCATCAGTCTCCTGAGTTGTGGGAGTTCTGTGCCACTGCCAAAAACAAATCAATCAATCAATCAAGCCAATTAACGCGGTCAGCCTTTTTTTCCCCACTGATGCAGAAAATTCTGTGTGCCCATCAATGGAGCACCTTGCACAGCGCTCCAAGCAAAAATAAGACAAGCAGTAAAGCCCTGGAAATCTTGCGATTAAAAACCAAACCAAAAACCCCACATTGTTTCTTGCTCTGCCCTCACAAGGCTGTTTCAGCGTACAACCTGTTTGGATGCTACTATGCTTCACTTGTCAGGAGAAGCGTGCACACTTGTTTTTCATTACATGAATTCTTAGAGGCAAACCACATCACCACTACACCTGTGATTTCAAACTACGTAGATTCTGTTAGTAAGCACTCCAAAAAAGAACGATATTTTGAAGCTTCTGAAAACACCATGAGATAATAAACTCGATGTAACTTAAGGTAGGTAACGGGCACGTAGCTGTTTGTCTGTGTTAGTACAGAGTATGAATGCAGAGGTGCATGAACTTCCTACCTCCACAAGATGGTTGTCAGGTCCGTAGAGATCTTTGTCCAGTTCAATGACTAAACTCTTAAAAAAAGATGAAAACTTCCGTTTCTGTTTGCTGAGCTGTACAGCGAGAAGAAACAAATGTTTCAGACTGCATGCAGTAGCCTGTGTTACGTGCTTTCTTAGGCTCTCTTCTCATACAGATCACAATTGTGCCCGGTCTAATCGAGTTTCCCCTCTGACAAATGCAGAGAAACGTGCAAAAATCCAGCAGTGGTAGAACAGTACAGCAAGGGAAAAGTCTTCCTTGACGTGAACAAGGTCACTGCATCCCTTTTAAGTTTGTATTTTTTTTTCCATAAGTGCCAAATTCTTTGTCTAAATTCTCAAATAGCAGCAAGTCTTACAGATCAGTCATACGCTAAGTGTCTCCTTTTACATTTTGCCTCTTCATCTAATTAGTAGTATTTGCTGTTTGCTCTGCAGTTCATATTGTCTAATTAAAAAGCTGGGAGGTCTATCTCACTTTCTGGGCAATACACTCCACAGTGCTTCTTTCAATCATAGAATCACTTGAGTTGGAAGGGACCTCTGAAGGCCATCAGGTTCAACTTTCCTGCTGTGAACAGAGTCACCTACAGCTCCACCAGGTGCTCAGAGACCCATCCAGCCTAACCTCAAACATCTCCAGGGATGGGGCACCCACTTCCCCTCTGTGCAGCCCGTGCCAGTGCCTCACCACCCCTACTGCAAACAACTTCTTCCTAATATCCAGTCTTAACCTCCCCTCCTTTAGTTTGACACCATTTCCCCTTGCACTATCACAGCAGACCTTGCTAAAGAGTCTTTCCCCTTCCTTCTTAGAATCCCCTTTAGATACTGGAGCACCCCAGCTGAGGTTTCAATGACTTTATTCTTATTTACTGGAAGTTACACCCTCCTTCGATTTAAAATTTGCCAGTAACTGAGATGCCACAATAAAAATGGGCAAATTTTTTTCCAATAACAAAGTTTTCTTCTTTTGTTATTAAATCATTCTATAATCAGTGAATATTAAGATGTTATAATTACAAAATAAACAAGAGAATCAGGCAAAGCAGATTACGATAACAAAAAGAGAATAGATAGAAAGCTTACCCGTATCCTGGGCTCACTTAGAAAACTCCAGCAGAGCAGATCTCCAGCAGAGATCCTTCCCCACTGGCAGCCAGCTCTTAAATGTGTCTGGGAGGGATGCAGCCTGGCTCCCCCCCTTCCGGCAGCACAGCTGCATTGCCTTCACCTGTGCTCCTCTGGCTGACTCAGTGCTCACCTCAGGTGAAAAATGCTCTTCTCCTCGCTGTCCTACTCCTCATAAGATGCAGTGGCCTGCTGCAGGTCTGACTTGTCACCCCTCTCATGGCCTGGATCCTGTCATATCTTTGAGGCAGCACTCTTTCTATATCCTCCTACCTGTTCTGTCCTTAAGGCTGCTCTGTTTCCTGCTGCCCTCCACAACACTGCCTTTATGGTGTATCCCTCCCCGTTGCTGGACATACTGCTTTCCCAGCAGCAATAAGCCAATGCTGCCATTTAGTGATACCTCGACTGACTGAATGTTCCCAGTGAAGCCCATCACCCTACAGGACAACCTCTGTTTGCTGCCCCCCCTGAAGAACAAGTAAGCCATACGTCATCCAGGAGCTTCCCCTCCACTCGAAGCTCCCACGATGCGATGCTGCCGTCGGAGTCGTCAGCGTCAGATTTTGCAGGATTAAATGTGTTGGAGATATAAAGTCTCAGCTTCCGCTTTTGCTGTTGCACAAAAGGAGAGAAGGATATATCTAGGTTAAGTCCAGGTCTCACGGCAGCCACAGGAAAGACCTTCACTAGAGAATTTGCATGTATATGAATACGTTGTAAGCAGAGGAAGACAGGAGGCTGCAGATCCTGTACCTCTGGTCTCTAGTGATGTTTCAGTTTCATTCTCCTTTTGATTTCCAATGGCATTATCCCCATTCTTCTTTTTACCCTGGCAACTTCTTCTCTCCTCATATTTGCCCATATACAAGTAGGAACTGTGTCTGTTTCCTCCAGAATCTGACACATCATCACTAAGAATATTTTGTAAGAGGTGATCTTGTTCACATCTGAATATTTTAGATGTCTGTCTTCCTCCTAGCTTTCAGTTTCCAGCTTCCTTGTACAGTCCACCTAAAACTGAGTTAATAACAATGACTAATTCCACTGTGAAATACACGAGATCTCTCCTTCATACTTTCCTGTTTCCCTTTGCTAAACCCTTAAGATATGTCTTTCTCTTGCAATTCACACACAAACCAGATGCAGTTTACATTTCAGGAATGGCCTCCTGCTGGTCCCTGTACTTTCCCTGCCCAGTCAAAGCCAGTCTGCATATCACGTGTTTCTCCTACACCGCTCTCTGATTTACTGTCCTTAATACTACACAGTGCATTGCCTTTCTCCTCGCAGTAACCACTACAAGTCAGCCCTCTTCTGATACACTGACATCAGAAATTAAAACAATTAATAAAAATCCTAAGCAATGACTGTCTTTAAAGCTGCAGGTATTACTGACATCTGAGTATGGTGAAAGCTGAGCCTTTAATCTCTGCTAGAGGAAGACTTTATCCAAACTGATAAGCAAAACAGGCTGTCTTTAGAGATTGATCCAAAAGGTACCAAGAAGTTATAGCACTATTAAGGCAGCGATTATCACCCATGAAACACACAGAAATATCCTTGCTCCTGACTCATAAGTACCAATGGAAACAGAGCAACTGCAGCAGGATTCCAGTACAAAAGGGGCTTTAAATCTTCAGAAAATTCTTCATCAGAAGCAGAATAAGAGAGCACAACGAAAGAAAACTCACATTTGTTGGAGTTTAAATATAACTTTTTTTAAAAGACCTGAAGTGTTTGTAAGCTGTTTTCTCTGCTAAATTGTCCTTGGTGATGCTTCATTTCTTTAGGCTTACCCTTAGTCCAGCAACTCTCAGTAACTTCTGGCTGTAGAAAACTCTGTAGGTTCATTTCTCAGCGAGACACACAATTCTCCTTTTTTTTTTTTTTTTTAAAAAAAATATCTCTAAGATCCAGCTGTGTTTGTGCCATTGCTTTCTCTCTCAAGTCTCCAAATTTCTGCTCGTGCTTCAGACTTCCTTCTTATTGAGGCAGTCTCCCATCCTTCCTGCCCCACCAACCCGCATTCCAGATGACACAATCTCTCCCTTCACACCCCTGCCCTCCCTATAACAGATCTACCAAGCCAAGCAACCCTTAGGACAATAGCAAATACCAGTCTCCCTTTCTGCAGCTGGGCCTCAATCCTTAAAAGCACTTTATGGAGTTCACTGCCATCAGGTGTCAGCCATCACAGTTGTCACAATCAGCAACTCTAGACCTGACCTGCAGAATACAGTCAGATCTGCCAGAGGTACAGTGCACTGCAAGCACATTTTGCCTGCTCATGTTGAAAATCATAAGCCTTTTACCCAGTGGCTCAATTCAGCCCTAACTACTTACAAGCAGTATAGCATGGTAAGGCTGCTGGCACAATTTCAGATAGCATGTAATTATTCTGCTGAGAAGCCAATCAGGAACCCACTGGTGTGGCCCCACTGCCAACGCAGTCCTTTCAATAACAACGCGTAAGAATTCCCAGAAAGAAAAGCAACTGGGCCTGCTAGGACCAAACCCCCGAATGCTCAGAAGGACGCAGCTCCATCCACAGCCTGCTGAGGTGACCTCAAAGGTCAAGGGACTGCAAGATCCACGTACATGTGAAGGATAAGGACAGTAAGACAAACGCAACTGTAAGTCGACACTCCCAATCCATGATCGCCTACCAACCACAGGACATACCTCTGCCCAGACTGATCTCCTCACACTAGGGAAGCTGTAAGCTATTTGGCTTTTTATTTTAATTGAAGAAGTCACAAATGTCTCAACTAAAGATAAGAAGATTCCTAAAAAGAAAAACTCAGTACATTGTTTGTTTAAATTGAAGCTGTCATAGATTCCGTTTCGCCTACAACATTTCTGCAAATGGCCTGCACAGACACTTCCCATGCAGAGATTTAAGATATCTTTTCAAAAGCATCAGTACTTCTCAATGGAGTACCACACTGAGCCATGGGATCTCTGAGCTGGTAGCAACACAGAAGTCCACATCTCATGTGCCTGTACCACGTAGTGCCATACAGAAACTCATGAACACAATTTAATAAACAAGGTCTTTGTTACTCCTCCTTGACTTACAGAAATTTTGCTTCTCTACAACCTCTTTCTAACTTCAAACCTAACCATTACTTGGTCACCTTCCCACAGAATCACAGAAGGACTCGGGTTGGAAGGGACCTTAAAGATCACAACCCCTCCTGCAGGCCCACCAGCTCAGGCTGCCCAAAGTCCATCCACAGCCTTGGACGCCTCCATGGATGGAGCACCGACAGCTTTTTTCCCCCACTTAGTCCACATCACATTAAGTACAAGATTTTTATTATCAAAATAATTAACCTTGCTTTTAACGATGTTTGAAATCAATTGACAACTATTTCATAGCAGAACTCCTTCGTGCACAACACGCCTTCCGGAACGTTTTCTTCAGCATGACAATATCTCCCAAATTAGAGTCATCAGCAAATTTCACCTCCAAATTTCAGAAGTAGCCTCCCAAATTCTGACATTGAAGACAGCCGTGAAGACACTGCAAATCTTGGTCCCAAATTTTACAGATTAAATAAGCTGGCTTTAAGGCAGACCAACAAGTACCATTCCAGTGGAACGCCGTTATTCTCGATATTCCCTGCTTCGGCCAGTTACTCACCCAGGTGCAGCTTTTCTGACAGGGATGGGGTATATCCCATCAGAACCTCTCACAGACACCCTGGTGAAGCCCTTCCAAATTCCCCTCTGTATTTGCACACACAAGGCACAAGACAATGACATCAGATAGATTCTGCCCGTGCACCAGAGTCTCAAGGTACAGATGGGAACGCCGAACAGCTAACAAGTATTAGAGCTGTCACTGCTCTCCATCATAATTTTTATTACTATTATTTTGCAATCCCTACCTCTTTCTCCTTAGCTTCCCATCAGGAATCAATTAAAAACTTTGCTCAAACTGGGGTAAATGACACCTGCAGCATTTGTTGATTTAAATGAGTGCAGGCTTGATTCAAAGAGCTCAATGGCAGCAGGCAGAGTACGATACAAAAATCTCGGCAAAGCATTTGTCCCCTAAGAGTCTCTCTTGGATGCTCCAGATGTAGAGCCCAGCAGAAAGAACAATCTAAGTTCCTTAGAATGATCGACTGGCAAAGCTCAGATATGAAGTGCTGTGGACACAAGTCACTGGGAGCAGAAACAACTAAAACAACCAAGAAAAATTTGCCAGAAAGAATGCTGAACAGCATAGAAACATCAGCATTTCATGAACACTGCAAGTTCCTTTCTGCCAACAATCTGATAACAATTCCTCAATCATCTCACAACTTGAAAACAGGGAAATAATCCAAATCTACAAAACCAGGGAGAGGCAGTTAGACTCTGACTGTATTCAGACACGCAGGCTCTTTCTGAACGTAAAAATGGAGAACCTGGGAGTGAATTACTTAGTCTGAGGAACTGCAGCTTCGCACAAGTGCTGCGAACTTGTTGTAAACAGCTGCAGGGCTGGAAGAATTGGCTGCTGGGAGGGGCTGCTGACGGTGGTGAAGCGAGCTGGCAGGCGGCTCATGCCTCCACCCTGCGCCCCAAGCAGCCTCAGGGAGAATCGCGGCCGCCTTGCTTCTGAGCGACACCACAGATGTCACCCGTTTCAACAGCGCAGCTCTTCACAGCAGATGAAGGAAACACAGACAGGCTCCGTGCACTCTATGCACCGCCTCCATTCAACAGCGTTTGAACCACCTCCCTCAAAACCTTCTCCAAAATAACCAGTCTTCCAACAGGGAGAAAATCCCAAAGCCAACGTTAAGCTCTAAGTCTGTGGCTCTAAAGAGGCGGTGAAGCTTCCACGCTTCAAGATCTTCAGACCTCAGTGGGGCCTTGAGAAGGAAGTTGAACTAGATGCATTCCACTGTTCCACCTTAACCCAATGTTTTCTGTGATTCAGTGAAACAGCATTGGAAAACTGACAAAAGTATCATTTCAGTGGGAAAAAATGATGGGGAAGTGCTAACTTGATCTGGTAGAAATCCTAAAAAAATTCACTTATCCTTTTCTTACATGAATCATGCTTTTATAGGCATATTAAATTTTAAATATATGCATTTTAAATGCATGTATTTCTGCAAGATCTTTAGCATTTTTCCGTGAGTAATTCTCCCCATTGTATGTTTTGTCATTCCACTGTTTTAGATTCTGACTGAAAACTAACACGGAACGCCAAGTATTTCCTCATTATACCACTCCAAACTCTTCCGTTCCTCTTTCTAGTCATTCTAATACAAAGTTTTTCAAACAATTTCTTTTCATAAGCTATATTCCATTTATTAAAGACTTTCAGAAGTTATAGCTGTAATACCCGCAAAATGTGCTCCACCATTTTTCCATACACATTGCTTCCCAGCTGCTTATTCTTAGGAGCTCCGTGCGATTCATATCAAACTGCCTCTGTTAACAGGGCCTTTATGGAAAGTTCACTGCACCACATCGTTCCCCCCCTTACATCAGTCCAGGCCTTTTTCTGACATACCTTCATTGGCCTCTTCAGCGCTTCCTGAATATCCACGCGCTTCCGCATAATGGTCTGGTCCAGTTTGCGTTCAAAAGCCAACAGATCCATGTAGGCCTGGGACTCAGGAACCAGCTCCCGGATCTGAGAAGGAAGGAAGGAACACCAAGCGTTGGAAGCAGGAACGCGCCGTGCCCAGAGCAGCAATGCTCTCTCAGCCACCGGACGATGAGCTCAGAAGCTGTCAGCCCAGTGATGGTAAGTCTCTAGCGGGGCAGGTTGCAGCGGCAGAGCACAAGCACGACCAAAAAGCGGGAACGTGGAATTAGAGCTGATGAACTTTGGAGCCACAAGGCTGGAGCCACTGATGAATTTTTCATGTGAGCCTTAGCTACAAGTAGCCAAGGAGCCACAGCTCTTGGAAATGCACAGTACTTCAAATTTGTCCTGCTTAAGCTAAGAAGGTTCTCTCTACACTGAAAATAGAAGATCAGGTATTTGTGTTGTTTTAATAAAAGCAAGTAATATTCAAGCACCGCTTAGCGGGGCACGGAGCATCTCCATTATGAGGAAAGAGAGCTAGAACTGCTCAGCCTGGAGAGGAGAAGAGCTGGGGGGGGGAGAGACAAGTGAGGTGGACTCCCTACGACCAAGTGCCACTAGTTTGAACAGATTTTCTGCACTGCAGAATTTTTAATATTAAATATTAAATATTTAAAGGCCAGTAGTCCAGATGATGAGGCCAGGCTCTTTTCGGTGGTGCCCAGCAACAGGACAAGAGGCAGCGAGTACAAACTGGAACACGGGAAGTTCCACAGGAGCACGAGGAAAAGCTGTTTTACTTTGAGTGTTAAATAGCACTGGAAAAAGCTGCCCAGAGAGGTGGGAGAGTCTCCTTCACTGGAGATATTCTGAGTCCACCTGGCTGCAGGGAACCTGCTTTAGTAGGGGAGCTGGACTGGCAGATCCCTTCCAATTCCCACAGTTCTGGGATCCCACAATCAGTCAAAATTGCGATTTAGGAAGGCACCACTGTTACCATATCTTCTCGGCTAACATGAAACTGACCTAAATGTTTAAGTTTTGATATGACCAGAGATGCAGAGTCAACTTAAGTTCTTGCTAAATTTTTCTGGTATTTAATATATTAGCTAAGCCATATTCACTGTAAGAAGAAAATCCCTTTTTATTCACCTTATTCCAGAAAGGTTAGCAGAGAATGTGATAGAAGTAGGTTAGGAGGAAGAAAGAGACAGAAGTCTCCTACTCAGTACAAGAGACACCTGGTCATCCTGCAGAGAGTCCAGTGAAGAACCACAAAGGTGACAAAGTGACAGGAGCACCCTGCAAGGAGAGGTTGAGAGAACTGGGACTATTCAGTCTGGAGAAGAGAAAGATCAGGGGGGTTTCATCAATGTCTGTAAAAACCTGAAGGAAGGGTGCAAAGAGGATGGAGACAGGCTTTTCTCAGTAGGGTACCCAGCAACAGGACGAGAGGCAATCGGCACAACCTGGAATACAGGATTCTCACTGAACACCAGCAAACACTTTACAGTAAGAGTAACCAAGCACTGGCCACAGGTTTCTCATAGATACTGTGGAGATGCTTCTCCTTCTCTGAGGTGTTCAGAAGCTATGCTGACATGGCTCTGGGTAAGCTGTTCTCAGAGCTCCTGCTTGAACAGGGGAAGGAGTTGGACCTGATGACCTCCAAGGTCCCTTCTAACCCGAACCATTCCGCGATTCATTCGTGTGTAATGAGCAAATACTTAAGATCTGAGTCTCAAAGTAGACACACATACCCTTGCAAGAAAAGGTCAGTTCTTAATTAGGAATAACTTAAGCAAGCAAACCACAAAAAAAGGAAACTCTAATTAAGTATAAAAATACTCTACTGGACTGCCATGTCAATTTTTATAATACTCCAGCTTTCAGCTACGTAATTAAAATATTCTACTGTTAAAGTTATCTGTTCTATAAGAATTAAGAGCAAATTGGTATTCCTGTTTTGCTTTAAGATGAGAAGTCTGCAGTCTGAATTTCATTTAAGACACAAGCATGTATGTGAGAAATACCTGGCAAAGAAAAACGTGCCAAGGCAAGAGAGCTTCCCAAGTGTGGGTACAACTTCATGCATACTGTGTACAAAACTATTTCACTTCACAAGACAAAACTCCAGGCTTCTTCTGGATCAAGATCAGTCATTTTTCTTTCATATGAAGGGCTACTAACGACAACTGATCCATGATGTTGACATGCTGGCATCAAACCTTCAAGTAGTGGGGAGACGACTCACAGCGCTGGCCATAACTGGCATCTGTTCACTCGCCTGTTGGTATTAGGGAGCCTCACAGGTTCCCAGTAAAATCATCCTGTTTTATGGTCATATCTTGTGCATACACATGTTAACTATGTGTTGCAAGGACATCAGCACTACTGCACCGAGTCATCCCAGGTATCAGTCTCTCCCAGCACTGAATCCCTGACAGCATTTGAAAGTTGATGCCCTTTATCAGCTACAATAGCTGAAGGTATGGTGTTTCAGAACAACTAGGGACAGTCTGCAAACTGATCCATTTCATTCGCTTGGAACCTGCCATCTGTTTGTCTCATTTGAAGTCATCTTCTTGTAAGGTTGGAGCAGCAGTGGACAGGATCTCCCTAAGCACCTTCTCCATGTTGCTCATACATTTTTCAGAGGTTAATAGTTTGCTCTCATCCCTTTCATTTCCAGGATGAACAATCACTCCATACTGTATTTACACTGATGAAGACTATCAAATGAATGTCTCGTTCAATATTATTTATTTGTTCGCTCCTTCTGAGATGCTAGAACACCTGCACTATTTGCAGCAAGATCAATTCTTTTGAAAAGCAGAAACCACGGAGCCAAAGAAATGCTTTGCTTTTACTCCATAAAATTCTATTCAGCTTTAGATGAATCACTACGTTTTTAGCTGCCCGTATTCTACTCAGTCTTACTATCAACTGAATAATCATAGAACCATAGAACCACCAAGGTTGGGAAAGGCCCACAGGATCACCCAGTCCAACCATCAAATAATAAAAGAACAGGAATATTTTTAGGAGCAAAGCACAAAGAGCAAGCATCGCTCTGAAAGCATCAAAGAGTTGGCAGACAGCTTGCAGGATAAAGACAAGGCAATATTTCCTCCCCACAGCGAATATAAACCTTGACATATGAGAAAATACCCCCATGCCACTATCTTGTCCCACAGAGAGCAAAGGCTTCCTCAGCTTCCTTCAACACAGAGCAAAGGAGTCATGCTGTACTGTGTTGTTTAAAAAACTCTGGACACGGTTTCAGGCTTCTACCTGTGAGTCACAGCACAGTCAGTTCCTGAACTCCAGGCACAGGATGAAGCAGGGAGCGCCCACACAGCCCTGCAGCTCAAGCACGCGCTACAGCTGCCGTACGGCTCCTCGTGCTGGGTCTCAAACTACTACAGACAGGACATAATGGAATTGCTAATATGTGCATGGAAACAACAGTCATCAGTAAGTATTTCTATTCCACATTTTTACATCTCTTACCATGTGAAAGGGAAAAGTCATTTCCTATTCCATCTATGACCGTCGTTTAAGAAAGCACACACTCCAAAATTAGCTAACAAAGATAATACTGCATGTAATTCCCTGAATGCAAGTGGCAGCAGGTTAAAAAATTGTTTGGGAGAAGAATTACATGTACTCTCCTGTTGTATGATCAATGAAAATAAAAATGCTACAATCAAGAAACAAACAAGAGAGCTTGACAAAGCAGATTACAATAACAAAAAGAGAACAGATACAAAGCAGATACAAAGCTTACCCATATCCTGGGCTCACTGCAGAACCCAGCAGAGGGGATCTCCAGCAGAGATCCTTCCTCCCCTGCAGTCAGCTCTTAAATGGGCCTGGGAGGGGGGCAGCCGGGCTCCAGCCCTCCTGCAGCAGTGAATCGCCTTCGCTGTGCCCCAGGGCCCCAGCGCCGGCCTCACGTGGTCCATCAGGGGTTCAGGCCGCGGTTCCGCAGTGCCCTCACACCTGTGCTGTGCCTCTCCTGCAGTGCGCAGGGAAGGCAGGGTGCTGAGCTAAAACTAAGGGTCACTCGGCTCAGTTTTGACCGCTCTTATGGTCTTTTTCACTCTAGCACTGGAATATTTTGGTGGAAGCACGGTGATGATCCAAGCCCGTACCCTGTCCAATTTTACCTCAAGAATGAGAGAATAATCGAAGGTAAGCCCCAGGAGCAGCACATCACAAAGAATAATTCGATTTGTTTCTCTAACGTAATTGCTTAAAAAGAGAAAGATACTTTTGAACTGCGACCGGCAGTACATAATTCATCTTTCTGTTTTCTTCATAGGTAGCTGAAGCTCAGTTATCTTGGTGTATCTGTGGTAAGGATCTGCACAACCTACAGATTTTCTTCTTGCATTTTCCCCTAACTGAAAAGCTCATAGCTTTTTGTGCAAGCTTTCTCTCTTGTACGAGAGTTTTAAGTATGAACGTGCGAAGAGTACTTCAAGATCTGAATTATCTACTCTGGTCTTTTTCTATTTCAAGAAGCTACAAAAATTACCTAGCAGCAGGAACTCATCATCTGATAGTCTGAAGCATGTATGCTAAATCCTCTCTTATAATTACATGGATAACTGGAACAAATTAGCACTAACATGAGTAAGGCAGGGTTTTTCTAGGGGCTGAGGATCTTTTTCTTTCTATTGTGAAAATTCAAATATTTCAAAAATTTTAAAATAATAAGAACACATTATTAATCTCTGCGCTTTCATCCTTCATGCCCATGGACTTATTTTATATTGACGGCTGCCAAATAGAGCTAAAAAGAATTGTGGTGATGAGGACAGTGAGCAGGACCAGCATAATGAGGAAGGCTCACAACTTCCTTGTAAAGGCAGCACAGTGTGCGTGTGCTTGTCAACAAATACACACAGCTTGTGAAACAAGCAGATGGAATCCAAAGTCAGCAGTGCTCGAATCCAGTACAAATCCAGTTGCAGCACTACTATTTCTTGGATAACCAAAACATCATGGGAGAGCTTCTATGACTGGCATGTGATGTCTTGGAAGGCAACGAGAACCGGCTGCACACTACACAAAGGCCTCAGCTAGAAGGTGAGCTGATGCTGTGGGATGCATCTCCTACAAACCAGCTGATCGAGGAGAAGACAGAGCCTGTGAAACATCTTTAAAATGCTCCACTGCAGCAGACCCTCATACTTATGGAGGACTTTAAGCACCGTGACATCTGCCTACGGACAGCACGAGGCATAAGCACTAAGGAGGTTTCTGGGTTGGATTGATGACAACTTCTTAACGCAGGTGATGATGTGCTTTGCTGAACCGATTACAAACAAGGAAGGAAGAACTGGTTGTGGATACGAAGATTAAAGGCAGCCCCGGCTGCAGAAAAAGAATGAGATGGTGGAGTTTGGGATGCTCTGAAAGAGAGCAAGATCAGGACCTCAGAAGAGCAGCTTTTGGCATATTCACGTATTTGCTGAGAAGGATTTCATGAGATGACAGGGATCCCCAAAGGCCAAAGGAGCTCAAGGGAGGTGGGCTGACCTTCAAGGACAGTCTTTTCAAAGCACAGGGGAACAATCCAGACCAGTGTGCACAGTTGAGAAGGCCTGGCAAAAGATGAGCAGAGTTAATCAGGGAATTCCTGAATGGTATCTAATGCCAAAACAAAAACAAAAACAAAAAAGAACGATGGAGGTGGGAGCCAGATCTCGCAGCTTCTCTTGGTAGACATGTGCTCCACCCTGGCCCACGTGGCCCACTGTGGGCTTCACTCCAGTTTCTTTCTGGCCTGTGCTCAGAAGTTGAGGTGCAGTCTCACAAGTATGGCATAGCAGGGAATAGCCTCTTTCCTTGACAGGATGGCATCGCTCAGGCTGACACAGCCCAGCATAATACAGCACGCACATCAACTGCCTCCTCCAGGTCAGTGACAAAGGTGCTGAACAGAACAGCTGCTAAGACAGATCCCTGTGACACTTGGCTTATCCCTGTCTTCCAGAATGGGTTGCGTGACCCATTGGACATTATTCTCTAAGAACAATCATCCAACTGTATTTTAACTTGTATGGTTGTCCACCTAACACCAGAATGTATCAACTTGAATATGAGAATATAATGGGGAAAAGTGAAAAATTTGCAAAAGCCAAGATAAATGAAATCCATCCACTACCATCTCTTGGTCACAGATCCAATTCCACTTCATTATTTCATCTTTGCTACTGCTAAGATTGCCATTTCTTCCTTATGAACAAATAGCAGATCCAGACGTCTCACTTCATCCTGGCACAGGTGGAGAAAAAGGGGACAACAGTCATGCAGTAACCACAAAACAACAGGACAGCTATCACAGTATGAGAGCAGAGCAGAGGAATCCCTTGCAGTGGTCAGTGAACAGCAGCAGGAGTTGACTGTTTATAAAGGAGAATGAAGAAGAGAGGATTAAAAAGGACAGCTGCATCAAAACCCATCAACACAGCTAGACAAGGAGTTCTCTGAAGAATCTGGAAGGCACTGAGAAAGACAGTAACTAACAGTGAGCAGAGAGATGAGGGAAGCAGAGTTTCCTGTTCTAAAGTTGCACTCCACTCAGCAAGCTAAATAGGGAAAAGAGATGCACAGCTGTGGAGACAGAAGAATTTTCAGTGGAGCTTGTTGCATCAGAGTGAGTAGGCATAAAAGCTGAAGAACAGAACAGTGAATCACAGTGACAGTGTCTGGAGAAGTACGTAATGACTCCCAACTAAGGAAAAGACAGACAGTGACCAGAAGAAATGAGCAGACGTGGCCGAAGACGGAAGAGCCGTGGGATGTGCGCTCCTTTCCCAAAGGGCAGCTTGTGGCCGGAGCTCAAAACTGAAGCGCCTTATAGACTCAGGTCACAAAGGCCACGACAGCTGGTGATACCTGCACACGGCTCTGTGAATGAAGATGCCTACGAACTGCTCTGGGAATGAATGAGGGTGTTAATGACCTGAGGAAAAAGAAAGGATCCACATGATGTGACATTTGCTGCGGCACGGAACTGTAATCAACGTTGAATGCACGAAAAAAACCTCTAAACCTTGTTATATTACAGTATGTCAGCCTACACTTCATGAAGTCTCTTTCTGTTCATTAAAATTGCATTTTAGACAAAAGGTACTCAGCAGATCCAGTCTACTTCATTGAAGTAAAGCATTTAACATGCAGTCATAAAGGGAAGAGATACTAAGACTGAAAAGGTGGGCATTAGAACAAAAATGATGTGGTAAAGAAGTGGCATGGAAAAAAAAAATAAGCAGAATGTATTCCATGGACTGGTGTTGAGAACGATTTTATTCAGGTAATTGTATTAATAGCTCTAGCATTTAAAAAAAAAAAAAAGAAGAAGTATACTAACAAAACAAAACTTAATGATAAAGGATGTAAGGAAGCTTAGAAATGTGCAGTAGAAGTGGGATGAAATATAACATTACAAAGCACAGGATCATGCTCCTTAAAGTCTATACCAATAATTCCTGCTCTAACATGGGAATTCATCACTTGCAAAAATAGAAATACTTGTATTAGTCAATCATAGAATGACTATATGCTACATCATGTGGAAAGGCTGTAAAAAAAGAAAATCTAATTCTAACGGGCATCACTTGCTCTTTCCAGTGGACATAAAAATGCCTCTGTGCTTTTCAGGTATTGGTGATACAATATGTACAGTTCTGGTTTCCCAAGAATTAAATTAAAAGAAGTTTAGAAGATGTGAATTTAGCCCAGAATAGACATAATGAAGGACTGCGAGGATTAGAAACACAGGGAGCCATTTGTATTTGGAAAACTGAAAGCACTGCCCTAGCTAAGCCTAACAACAACCAAAAAAAAGTGTGGAGGAGAAGCTGCCAAATCTGAAATACCTCAGAACTAAGGAAGCTAATTAATCCTGAGGCAGTAATTGCGTGCGATGGCTTCTATGACAGAGTGAACAAGACTGGATGTGACAGGAAGTTCCCTACATTCCCCCATACCTTCCTGTGTGCAGCGGTTTGGTAGGCTGCACTGTTCTTGTACAGTGATACCTACATGAAATTAAGCTCATGTCAAACAGCTGCACTGCAGCAGAAAAGTGGCCCCAGGCAGCCAGCAGCAGGCACAGCCTTGGTACAGGACCTGAAGTCCCGCAGCTGCTCAGCCATGCAGCTGCCTGGCCCGCCCAGCAACTGACCCCGAGGACAAACCCCCCTCTCTATTACATAAGAGTTCTCAGCAGGAAAATGTGTTTAATAGGACAGTTCCCAGTTCCCAGGAAAGAGTCTGCAGAATGCCGGCAGCAAAAAATGCCGACTGAAAATCACTCCAGAAGTAGATTTGGGAAGTTGGAACTTTTACCCTGTTTCATTTCATTCCTTATCCACAGTGCAAATCTTCCACGTGACAGGACGCTGATTTACACAGCATTTCGCTGTCTCCTGAATGGTGAGCATCAGGAGGTTCTGATACACCTGACTGTGCCTAAAGAAGTACTTCAGTCCAGACACAAAATCGTACCACTGATACCATCGCTTCAGCTGCACTGACAAGAACTCCATTACTGACAGGACTCTAGCAATTTGTGTTGTCTTCTTACTGCATCAGTTAAAATGACTGGCTGGCTGTAACAAAGGTAATGAAAGCGAGAAAGATTTGGTGACAGCGTGGTTCTGAATGGTGCAAGCACTGGTGCAGCTTTTTCACTTATATGAAGGGTAGGCTCCATCCATTAAAACTTATCACAGACTTGATAAAGAGGTGGTAAGTCTTCTATTGCCAGAGAAGTTTGGCTACCTCTTTTAAGTTGTTTTTTTTTAAGCTTTTAAGTATTCATATGTTTAAAATGCCATCCATAAAGGATGATTGTCTCTGAAAAACAACTGTGAGACAGACAAGAAATGTGGCTTTCAGTCTAAGAAAGTACAGACCCTAAGAAGGAATGAGGCTTTAACACACCATGGAGACTGCAAGTAGTCCAAAGCTCTGGACTTCGTGGCAGCCTTCTCCTTTCAAGACAGCAGCATGAGAAAATGAATGGCTAACTCATGAAGCCTGTACTGCCACAGAGTGACAGGAAGTGAACATTTGCTATTAGGTGTACCAAAAAGGACTCGTTTCTTCAACTGGTTGTAACTGGGCACCGTTGGAATGTCAGAGAAGAGAATCTGGAGGTTGCTGTACAGTTTGGGTTTACGCCAGCAGTTGAAAGGCAGACTTGAAGAAGAGAGCTACACACCTCTGAAAAGAATTCTGAGCCCAGAAAGATCAGCAGAAGCCAAAGAAACCAGGACTACCTTATGATGAGTGTGTGCGCTTTGAAGACTTGAGGGTCTTGTCCTTTGGGACCATCCAGGTTTTAGGAGAACTGTACTAAGTAGGGGACAGAAACAGAGAAGCCTGGGAATAATGAAAGAGAAATCCTTGTGTTTAAAAAGGAAGTGGAAGATTAAGCATTGAGGATCAAGCATATTCAGCAACTAAAAGATAGACATATCTGCAGAGATAAGAGAATTAATAACCGAATAACACAGGCCTGTTGAACTCTGCTGTTTATATAGATTCTAAGATGCAACTGCAAAAATTAGGAGCTGTCAGGTGTTCTGGGCCAGGGGGAACTAAGAACAAGTCCACCTCCTACAAGCACAGCTGCACTCTGAACCAGCCTTAAAAATTGATCAAAAACATCTTTAAGCCTCGAAGGGCCCCAGCATCAAGTCATGTACTTCACAGTCCAGCAGCACCGTCCATCCAGCAAGTGGCAGTGCTGGCACAGCTAGCCCAGCACAAGGGGATGACACAGGCCAGGCTGCACCCCACGCTCCCAGCCCCCAGCCCCAGCCCCAGCCTGGCTCTCCAGACTTTCACCCACTGCCTACTTACTTTTTAATTAGATTTTTAAACAAAAAGTGAAAGTATTTTATAAAATCCCTCTAATTACGCTGAGATGCTGAACTGATTGTGAAGGGAATAGGAAATGAAAGCGACTCACCCTCTGAGGGAGAATTTTGTCAGCCATCTTCCTCCTCTTGGCACTGTACATTTTTTAAAGAAAAAAACACGTTACCATGGTGACAGATCTAGGAGTAACGAGGCCACCTGCTAAATTATCCTGACATCTCCACATGCTGGTGCACAGCTGTGCATGCATCAGCAAAAGGGTCTCACCCATGCCCGGGACCTAGGACCCCTTCTCTCAGCAGACTGGGGAGGTAGTTAGCTAAGAACAAATCAAGGCTGTCTGTTATGCATCTTGGAAAGAAGTACGCAAGTTCTTTGATCACAGCATCTTCTACGGTGCAGAGCAGCAGTGTATGCAAGTACGTGTGCACATGCCATCCATGGATGCAGAAAGAGCATGTCGAAGGACAGCACGTGTGTGGAAGTGTGCACGAACATATCTACGTCCACACACGAGGAAGAGGTGAGTGCCTGTAAGCTGAATGTGATCTTGTTCAAACGGATCTGAGCATGCATTCATTTATGTCCCAAACTGAGTGGCGATGTTCATTTGTGTACGAAAACACACCTATTTATGCACCCTTACATAAATACACTCGTTTCACTGAAATGAATGACTTTCAACGCTGTCAGTTTATGTTTTCATGCTTGTTCATCATTCATGTTACGAATGTCAATGCGAGAAGATAAACGTGTGCCGTAGTGCGTATGCATGCTGCGCCCGTGCCCAAACACAAGCACATTTATGGCTGCATGCTTTTAAACACACTCCTGTGTTCGCACGCATACAGCCAAATCTATATATGCCTCAGAAATGGTACTGCTGGGAAGACTGCCAAATACATTGTATTTTGAAGCCTTCAGATTCTGAAAAGCTTTTGCTCCCATCAAACTGTCACCTCACTTTCTCTAGCAAGGCCGAGAAGAAATTCAAGCCTTACTCTTCACCTCCATAAGCTGTGAAGCCTTTATCTTAAGCAGAAGGTTAATCACTCCATGTGTGACACAGACCAATGAGGTAAAGACGGCCGCCTGCTGCCCATCTGCTACGTCACGGGACGCCCTTCCACACAGCTTTCGTCTGGGAATTCTGTCGTCAGCCTCGTCCACATCAAAGCTGCTTCTGCACACACCGGTGTGGCCAACTCCCTTCTCACCTTTGCTAATAATAAGCCTGGCCTGAAATACCAGAGTCCTCCCCGTCTGCACAGAAGCCTGAGGAACTCTTTGTTCTTGGAGGTGAAAACTACATTGGGCAGAAAATTTACGCACGCAGTCACACACAATTTCACAGATGAACAAAATCCTTTTTTTAAAAGTGCAGAAATAATGGGACCGGAGCATTAAACATGGGGTTTAAATCTCCAGCACCTCCTGCAAATGACAAAAATTGAAACTGCACTGAAACTCTTTGCAGATTCTGGAGCAAACTCCATCCTCTAGAGAGAAGTGCAACATGCACCCACAGCAACCCCAAAGGCTTCCAGCTAAATAGCAAAAACAAACGTGACAAAACCCCAACAACTTGGCTCTAAAAACTTTTCCATGGCTCTGTTACAAAAAAAGAGATTTACCTGCTTTCTGACCTTCAAACCTGGCAAGAAAGGAAAATTACACTTTCTTGGCCCTTTATTGCCATGAAACATGGGGCTCGGTTAATCCCAGAATGGGACCCAACGTTTTCCAGAAAAGTCTGCCTGAAAAACTGGGGAAGTTTTTCAGGGAATGGGAAATGACAGGGAGGTGGGAATGAACCAGGGGAAAACACTGAAGACACTGCCTGGAGTGACAGCACAGCAAAGGAACAGAAACTTCCCTGAGAACCTAACATGCATTGGTGTAAACTGGGCTCACAACAGTGGTGATAATTGCTAGAAATTAAAAACTGAACTTAAGAACGGGGAGGGAGGAACGGCTTCCTTCTGTGATTTATGGCATTGACTTTCAGGAAACAAACTATTCTTCTTCAATTATCCCTGGAAACTGGTTAGCGACTGGAGTTTGACTTCATCATCCCGCTGCATTTTCAGGCTGTCTCCACCCCATCTGTCTGAGGGCTACGGGTTCTCGTGTGCAGCTTCCTGGAGGATCTCCTGGGAGGTGCCATGGAATGCACATTTTTGCTGTGCATGGGCAAGGCCTTCATGACGCACATGCATCTCATGCTGCACCCACACACATTCCTTCTATATTTAATCTTGTTGAACCTTAATATATTAATTCTCTCAGGACTTGCGTCCTTTCCAGATGCATCCAAGACATAAGCATTCTCAAGTCTGGCTTGCCGACCCAAGGCCATACAGTAGATAGAGCAGGGCTCCCGAAGCACTGATCTTAGGAAATCATGTTTTACATAAAGCTGGGTACGATGACCCCACTTGAACACTGTATGATCCTATATTTGCCCACAGGAATCTTGCAAAAGGCAGTCAAACCTGGGTGATTGCACCCTATCAGGAGCTGGCTCTCGCCTCAGAACACAAGTATGATAAGGTCTAATCAGTTGCAGAAAGAAACTGGAAAAATATGATTTAAGACAGAATGTAATCAGCACTGTACAAAGCATGCATATAATTGAAAGAAAGCTCCTTAAAAACAAACAACAAACTTCTCAGATTGTAGAAAATTCCCATGGGTACCTCTATCCCTAAACGCAGCAATGCCTGCAAATTGCAAGTTTTATGACCACTCATCTGAGTGAACATATCAAGTATTGACATTACCAACAAAAAAATCTCTTCCACTTGTCTCTTGTTTACAAACCAATTTGTTAGCCAGTTAGAAATTACAGAAACGTAGAGAACAGATAACAAATTACACAATAATTGCATTATATTAGAAACGAATTGATCGTTAACTTCATGGGCTAAATGTGATGGCCAGCTCTATAGCCTGATATACCCACAAGCTGAAAGCATTTCATCAGCAGAAACAGACTTTATTAAAGGTCACTGTCTTTAGAGACCATTCCTAAGCAAAGTATGGAGTAAAATTTACCATTTTTTTTCCTGCTTTAAGAAACTGATGCTATGTAAATCTTCTGGTTTGTCTCATTCAATCTTAAAGCTCTTACTTATTACTAAATAAAGATTTTCTTCCTCGTTTTTTTCCCCACCCTTCCTTTCTGGAATACTCACCTCCTGGTTCGGTTCTGAGTAGCTTGCTGCTGCTGCTGCACTTGCTGCTGCACCTGCTGCTGTTGGACCTGCTGTGGTGCAGTACGTTTTCTCGTTGTTTCCATCACAGTCTGGGGCATCCCAGGTCTCACCGAGGGGCTTCCAACATATGGAGGGCCTGGGGGACCCATGGGAGCCCCCTGGTGGGGCATTCGAGCTCCTGATGGCATCCCAGGTCGCTAGGGAAGAAGCAAAACAGAAAAAAAGAGACAGTTTGGTCCCTGCTTCTCCAGCTGCATTCATGTTTGTACACAGTCACACTCAGCTCCCGCAAGTTCCCCATTTTTACCAACCTTACATATAAGCAGCAACACAGAGCACAAGAGATCTGAATTGGAACTCCCTGGACATCATAAAGCAGAACACAATGATAATGGGGACGGGAAACCGAGATGAGGAAGACTGGACATGGGAAAGCACTCAGTGGTCACTAGCATTCAGGCCAGCTTACAGCAGACAGCTCTACCTTCTTACCAAAGCTGGCACGGCACGCAACACACGGTTCAAATAGGTGCAGTCCACATGCCAATCAAAGCAAAAGCTTTGTCACTTCTACAGTACTGCAGATTTTGAATGGACCAACTGATTGCTGTGATCAGTAGGGACACTACAACAGGCAGAGCTGAACTACGGAAGCACTGCAGTAAAGCATTTTCCAGTGAAAGCCTTTGCCTCCACCTATGCTGGAGAGCATCCCAAGTCTATGATATGACAAGAACCCTTAAGAAAAGGTCATGTCTCTGATCAAGAAGAAAAAGAAAGTGATACTTTGTCAGCAGCCCCTGCAGGTATTCTAAAGTCCAGACATTTACGTTGACTTCACCATGCTTTGAAATTTCCCTTTAGGTGAGACTGCAAACTTAATGCTGAACAAGACTCTCAGGAAAGCTGATGCCATGCTGAGGTTTATATTCCTCAAGGAAAAACACCATTAAAATAATTGTTTCCTCAAAACAGGAAAGTGGAAAGATTTTAGTTTCACTCTAAGAGGAATGAAAGTATTTATTAGAGATCTTTACCTATCTGTGAAAATACACAATGCACACACACATTGTATACATCTGAACCAATATATAAATAAAAACTATCATACATAAAAGTAATTTGAAATTGCAAGTGTAAAATCCTACATGTGACAAGGAATAACTGCAATATCAGTACAGGATGAAGGCCAAGCTGCTGGAAAGAAACGCAGTAGAGAAGGACCTGGGGGTCGTGGTGGCCGACAGGCAACCAGCAGTTGACCACAGCTGACTGTGGACCAGCAGGGTGTGCTGGTGGCCAAGGAGGCCAATGGGGCCCTGGAAAGCACTGCAGAGAGTGTGGGAGGTGATCCCCCCTCCACCCTGCCCTGGGGGGGCATGGCTGGAGCAGCGCACCCAGCGCTGGGCTGCCCAGGTCCAGGCAGATGGGAACTGCTGGAGGAAGCCAGGGGAGGATGCGGAGATGGTGGGGCCTGGAGCAGCTCCTGGTGGGGCCTGGGAGAGCCCTGGTGTGTGGAGGAGAGAAGGCTGAGGGACCTGAGCGGTGCCGATGGAGAGCTGAAGGGAAGGGCAGGGGAGGGGGCCGGGCTCCGTTTGGTGGTGCTGGACGCCAGGACGAGGAGCAGCGGGCGCAGACTGCAGCCCAGGGAGTTGATCTGAACGTGAGGAGGAATTGCTGTGCTGTGAGGGTGGCAGAGCCCTGGACCGGAGCCCGGAGAGGTGGGGGAGTCCCAAACCCTTCTGGACGCCGTGCAACTAAGTGCTGCACAGGGCTGCCATGGGGGATGGAGCAAAGGAGCTCCAGAGGTGCCTCCCAACCCCTACAGTTCTGTGATTACGTGATTCTGCAAACCCTCTCTGCAGCACAGGAAGTTCTGCACAAATGCAAGAACTTCTTCACAGTGGGGATGGCGGAGCGCTGGCACAGGCTGCCCAGGGAGGCTGTGGAGCCTCCTCCGGAGATTTCAAGAGCTGCCTGGACACCTACCTGTGCAGCCTGCTGTAGGGAACTGCTTTGGCAGGGGGTTGGACTGGATGATCTCTAGAGGCCCCTTCCAGCCCCTACAATTCTGTGAATCTGTGTGATTCTCTCTACAGATTCTTTTCATGAAACTATGAGGCCATAGCATCCATTATGGATAAATAATTGGTTATAGAATATTAATGAGGTAAAAGTAAATTATGACGATAATCTTAAGCGGGCATTTTCAAGAGCTCTGCAAAATCACAAGCAGCCTGGAGAGGGCAGATGGAGACTGACTGTTCACTGTCCCATCTGGTGCATAAACCACAGCCAGCAGAGGAACCCACAAGGAGTCAGGTTCATAGACAGAACGGGGTGGTTTCACACAGTGGGCAGTGAGTCTGTGGAACTACTTTTCAAAGAGATGTTAAAGACACAGAAAATATTTTTGGCTTAAAACTTCTCTGAGGTATCAACAGTTGAAGACTGAAAAAATATGTGGGAAAAGTATCCTCATGGTCACTAAAGTGGGATGTGTGCACCCCAAGGGGCACAGCGGGATGCAGGAAGAAAAGATTTTTTGTACCATTAAAAATATTTTTTTAATTGAGATTATTTCATCTTTGTCTCGTTTCTTTTTGAATCTCTGTTCATATTAGTAATGATAGGAATGCAAGACCAAAAGAGTTTGGAGACTGCTGCTTTGTACAGCATCCTGTCACTGCCTACTGGAGCCATCTGCTACAGCTGCTGTTAGAAGTAGCATTGCAGGCCCAGGGGAACCTTTTCTGAGCCAGAAAAGCTGCTCTTACGTTATGCTCCAACTTACATTTTACAGTAAAAAAGCATCTATTATGGCTGCAAACCCCAAGCAACAGTGCTTAGCTGCATCTCCAAATTAGCAACCCACATCCTCCGTAGTTCCCAAAGCCCCAGCTCAGGGCCCTCCCGGGTCATTACAAGTCTTAGATATTCCTTGTGCCTGGATGCCTGAAGGAAAAGGAAGGAAGAAAGAAGGGGAATGATCACTAAAGAACCAGAGCTATAATTGGTTTGGACAGAGAGGGAAAGTCAAGGGGAGAGAGCGCAGCACAGCCAGCCAGGCAGGCTTCAGCAAGTATTCACATAGAGGATTAAGTATGGGTATGGCCACTGAGAACAGAAGCAGCAGGAGGCAGCAAACAGGCAAAATGGAGGCTGTGTGCAGAGCTGAAAACATTTTCTCTCATAAACACTGAGCTATGAAGACTGCTGAAACACAGCAGCCGCCCCCTTTCCCACTTTCTGACCCAGGCAAATGCAGTAGAAACAAATGGCCCAGAACAGGCTTCACACTTGAGCTTGTATTTAAGATCTTTCCGTTGTCTGTCAATCTACAAACTGTGGCCTTCTTCCAAATAAGGGGGCCTGCTGTTGCCTGTTGATCATCCCCGGACATTTGACAGTCATTCAGAAGAGTGAAGATCCCGGCATCTCGTGTTTCACTCCCCATGGAGACCGACTGGCCACACGGATCACACTGCAGGCCCCCTGTTCTGATTCCACATAGAACACCTTAAAAACTTGAGAACGAGGTCAGCAAGCCAGGCCTACTCTTGATCTAAGTCTGACATCCTTGAATTTCTTTCTGTTTCCTTTGTTAAACACTGAAATACTGAAAGGACCAAACAGAAGGAGCCAGCTCTAGCAAGTGCTGCAGCGCCACGGGCAGCTCATCTGATCGCACCCCTTCACGCGCCTCACTCCTTCCCTTTACTTCTTGTACTCTCGTATCCTACATCTTATGTAGATACTGCACTATTCCTGCAACTGCCATCTCCCCACCGAAAACCCAAGGCACCCAACAGATATGGAAACACTTTCTCTATGTAAACTGTTGTAGAAGGAGCACTTTATCTTACCTAAAGGCTTGTTCTGCTCTCAAACTCATGCGCAAGAGAAGGCAGTAGCAGACAACGCATTGAATTTTTCACAATACCGACATAAAAAAAAAGTTGCCATAATACTAAAGAGTATTACAGTACTACCACATTTCTTCAGAGATCTGTGAAGTACCACTGCCTATGGATAAGGATCTGTCTCTGCCTCTGCCCTCATCCTCATGTGGCCAAGCTGTATTCCATCACATATGGAAAGTCACAGCTGTCAGGTGAAGTTCCTCCTATTTTTAAGTAAGGGATAAAGAAAGACCTGGGGAACTACAGGCCAGTGAACTTCACATCAGTGCTTGGGAAGATCCTGGAGCACACGCTCCTGCAAGCTACATTAAAGGACATGCAAGACAAGGAGATGATCCACAACAGCAAGCATGGCTTCACCAAGGGCAGATTAGGCTTGACCAGTCTGGTGGCCTTCTATGATGATAGGACAGCATCAGTGGACAAAGGAAGGGCAACTGATGTCATCTCCCAGGACTTCTGCAAGGCTTTTGATATGGCTCAACACCACACTCTTATCTCTAACTTGGAGAGAGAAGATTTGAAGAGTTGACTATTTAGTGGATAAAGAATTATTTGGATACAACTGCAGCCAGAGCATTGTGGTCAATGGCTCTATGCCCAGGTGGAGGCCAGTGATGAGCAGGTGTCTCTCTTGGGATTGGTGTTCTTAGAATCACAGAATCCTTAGAGTTGGAAGGGACCTTCAAAGGCCATGTACTCCAACTCCCCTGCAATGCACAGGGACACCACAGCTGGATCCTGGCGTGGACCTTTTTGTCTCTCCCGTACTGAGGACTCCACATCTGGACGCAGTGCTCCAGGTGAGGCCTCACAGTGCAGAGCAGAGGGGCAGGATCACCTCCCCGGACCCGCTGGCCACGCTTCCTTCGATGCAGCCCAGGATACAGTTGGCTTTTGGGGCTGAGGACGCATTGCTGGCTCATGTCCGGCTTCCCGCCCACCAGTAGCCCCAGCAGGGCTGCGCTCAATCCTTTCATCCCCCAGCTTGTATTGGTAGTGAGAGCTGCCTCAACCCAGGTGCAAGATTTTGCATTTGCATTTGTCAGACCTCATGATGTTCACATGGGCCTGCTGATCAAGTTCATTTAGGTTCTGGTGCATCGACTGCACCCCACATATTGGTGTCAGCAGCAAACTTGTTGAGAGTGCACTTGACCCTGCTGTCAATGTCATTGATGAAGATACTAAAGAGTATCAGTCCCAGCACTGACCCATGGGGGACACCACTCATCTTCAATATCTTTATCAATGACATCGATGCCGGGATTGAG